ACCAAATCCAACAAGGCAGCATTACAGGTTACCAAAATCTGTTACTCCTCTCTATAGGGATGGGCGATACCACTTATTTTGTTTTCGATACTTTTAAAGGCCAGTATCGTTGATATCGATACTGATACGATACTTCAAAGCTGAACTTTTTAATTAAGAAATTTATTAAATTACTAAGAGTAAAATGGGTAATGATACCCACTTAACTTTATATTAAACGCTGCCCTTTTTAAATGCACTATCAGAAGTGAGTGAACGAACGCTCTCTGTGATTGATTGGTTCTGTCTTGCAGCATTTGCGTGTGTTCAGATGAGCAGGAAAAAGTTCTATCCTACACAATTATTCATTAACACAGGTTATTCATCCAATTCAATGCATATTGTACGCATTTTTTTCTTAAATAATTATTTTTGTTAAACAAAATCACTGCTAAAAAACACAGCTTAGTATGATATTTTTATTTGAGTATCGATACTTTCAATACTCGCATCAGTAACGTTATCGATATATCGATACTTCAGGATCGATACGCCCATAGCAGCATTACAGGTTACCAAAATCTGTTACTCCTATCTATAGGGATGGGCGATACCATTTATTTTGTTTTCAAAACGATACTGATACTTTTAAAGGCCAGTATCGTCGATATTGATACCGATACGGTACTTCAAAGCTGAACTATTTAATTAAGAAATGTATTAAATTACTACGAGTTAGGGATGTGCCGATATGAGTATCGGTACCGAACGGTTCACGGGGCAAATTCCAAATGGAAGTGATCATCCCTATCCCCTTGGAGTGGGGACTTTGGAGTGAGCAGGGCACGTGCGTGCCATTATGTAGTCGTTTGAATGCACTTGGCAAAGCGAGTGACGTAATTTCCTCATTATCTTTAGCTGGCATGTTCCCGTGACATGCAGCACTGTGTCCGTCAGCAGATGTCGCTGATGGACACCAGCATAAAAAAATATACATTTTATATTTTAAAAAGTTTCTTATATATTATATAGCATATTTTAAAAACTTTAAAAAGCCCTGCTCACTCCAAAGTCCCCACTCCAAGGGGATAGGGATGATCACTTCCATTTGGAATTTGCCCCGTGAAGTTCGGTACCGATACTCATATCGGCACATCCCTACTAAGAGTAAAATGGGTATTGATTGGTTACCCATTTTAAAAAAGCTAAACCTTAGTATGATATTTTTATTTGAGTATCGATACTTTCGATACTCGCATCAGTAACGTTATCGATATATCGATACTTCAGGATCGATACGCCCATCCCTACTCTCTATTTCACACTGAATGGCTTTATTGTTAGCCAAATTCACTCTGTTGATGTTTAATATTCTCTGTTTCATACCCCAAAAAGCATTTTGGTGTCGTGGGAACAGAGGTAAGAAGGATAACCAAATTCACAAGTCAGCATAAAATCTTACTGAAATTTGTTACCCATCAATGATGATAGACCACAAATAATCCACTTGGTTCATAAACTAGTTAATCTAATCAGCAACAGCTTCTGAAAATTCAGCCATTTTTGACAAGCAGTTTGACAGTGCTGAGAGCTACTGAGAATTCTAAAACTGGAATTTCTGTCATTACTGTTGCTAGCAACATCTAAAGGAAGAATTCACAGCGAAATTAAAATTCTGTCATTAGTTAGGCTACTCACCCCATGTCATGCCATTCCATCCATAATTAAAGACGATATTTTTAAATGTAAAAAGAGTAAAAGTCATAAGACTTAATCAAGTTTTCTTAAACCATTCAATAGCTTTATGTAAAGATTCTGACGACCAAACTGAAATTTAGTTCGTTATTTACTGAAGGTTTTTCCCTTTGCATTCTCCGCAGTCACGTTCAATTAAAAATAGCGTTGCTGGACGCCATTACGCTTATGACGCCATTGTGTAGGGAGTCAGCGACCGCCAATAATATTTGAGATCCACACAGGTCGACTGAAGATTATAAGTAAATAGTGACCTAAATTTTAGTGTGTTCCTCAAACCTTCAGAAAAACTGCTCACCAGTCGCGTGGACTACATTATTGATTTTTAAATGGATAAATGGCTCCCCTCGCGGGTGAACTACTGAAAATGGTAAGTTCCCAACAAAATGCAATAATGTCCAATAACCACTAGATGGTGCCTAATGATCCCAGTTTGTTAGTTCTTTCTTTCTTTCTTTCTTTCTGTCTTCAATGTTTAGGTTCAAATGTCTCAGCCGACTTTGAAAATCTAATTTAACACATATTCAAATCATGCTTGAGAACATGCTCATCGGGTTTTATGCAGACTTCTGGAGTTCAGGCAGCTTGAGCGCTGCTGTCATTAAAGCAAATGCTCCTCCTCAGAAGAGCCAGCAGCTTCTGTTTTTAATCATTTAAAGGTTCTGTTGTGATGTCATAAGGCTCATAGATAATCTTATCCTTTACAACAATAATAATCAAATTTAAACTGTTTGTTTGCTGGCAGTTGATACCTCTTACCTCATCTGGGATTCGGAAAGACACAGCAAGTAACATACATAAAGCCTTAAAAAGACATGTGCTGGTGGAGTTTGATCTTCGAAAAGTTCTCATCAAATTCTTCCAAGACCAGATTATCTGGTCTATGCTATTATTAATTTTAAAATTCTTACTTTAAGAGCCTAGGTCTACTTTAATTAAGCAATTGTTTCTGCTTATTTTTCCTGAATAATTTTTAAGTAAACAGCTACCTAAAAGATGATTATTCAATTAAACATATCCAAAAACTCAGTTAATCCTCTTGAGGCATGAAAGTGCAACGTTTAAGCAATAAAATTTACTTTGATAACAGATTTTGGTATCTGTTGGAGACTTTATAAACTCATCAAACAACAAATCCTACCATTTAGTCTCCAAAATGTGTAAAGACATGACAGCAGACCTCACTCTGTAACAGCATAATACTAAGACACGTCAGAAAACAACTCCATTCTGTTCATCTTATGAATCCCTCAAACATTATTTGAGTCCTCGGTTCTCATTGATGCTAATCTTGGTCTCCTTTAATTCTCAGTCTCAGCCAAAGAGCTCAAATGCAAAACATGTTTTCATTTAAAGTTGTTGCACTTTCAAGGCTTATGAGAATTAAGTCTTCACTCAGGATTGTGAAAATACATGGAAGAATGAGAACAGTCCCACACACTCAATAAACAAGCACATTGTGTTGTTTACAGAAGGATTCTGACCTCATTATATCACAGTCCACATGGTAGCCGAAAACTACTCACTGAATCCTACAGTATGTAAACTGAGAGTTTTTTCTATGTTTAAATTATAATTGATGGGCTGGATAAAATATTTTATGAATTATAAGGCACTATAAAACACACTTTGTTTAGATCGGCTTAGATGCACCTCGAGGTATGAATACAGTGATTGGACGGCTGGGTGCTGTTGTCATTGGCCACGTAAACGCTTGCGATTCTGTACTGATGTCAAAATACCTTCTTTGTATCTGTTTTATTAACCACAAGTGTGTCCTGTTTCTGTTTTGCAAATATAAAACTAATGATCTGTTGACACATTATTTGTTTGTAGTATCTATTGTTTGAGGAAACTGTGATTTTAATATTTCATAACCCTTTATCAGTGGTTATTTGTATGCACTGACCCAGTAGTACACTCTTAAAAATAAAGGTGCTTCACGATGCCATAGAAGAACCTTTTTGTCTAAATGGTTCCATAAAGAACCTTTAACATCTGAAGAACCTTTCTGTTTCACAAAAGGTTCTTTGTGGCGAAAGAAGGTTCTTCAGATTATAAAAAGGTAAGAAAGAGATGGTTCTTTAAAGAACCTTTGACTGAATGGTTCTTTGTGGAACCAAAAATGGTTCTTCTATGGCATCGCTTGAAGAACCTTTTAAAGCACCTTTATTTTTAAGAGTGTAGGTAGTAGTAGTAAACATTATTTTTAAAGGAATAATTCACCCAAAAGTTTACATTTGCTGAAAACTTACCCACTGGCCATTCAAGATGTAGATAAGTTTGTTTATTCATCTTAACAGATTTGGAGAAATGTAGCATTACATCACTTGCTCACCAATGGATCCTCTGTAGTGAATGGGTGCCGTCAGAATGAGGGTCCAAACAGCTGATTAAAACTTCACAATAATCCATGCAACTCCAGTCCATCAATTAACATCTTGTGAAGCAAAAAGCTGCGTGTTTCTAATAAACAAATCCATCATCAAGACATTTTTTTTTTTTACTTCAAACTGGTGCTTCAGGGTAAAATATGAGTCCCCTATCCATAATATTGCTTTCTCCAGTGAAAAAGTCTGAATCACAAGAGAAATATGAACAGATTAAGTATGTTAACAAGTGAAAACAGTTCTAAGTAAAGATGTTGGTGGATTTTGATGCGAGAGGACAACAGGGGATGGACTTTTTCACTGGAAGAATCCTGCATGTGCATTACTTGTGGATTATTGTCATGTTTTTTGCAGCTGTTTAAACTCTCATTCTGACGGCACCCATTCACGCAGGCGATCTATTGGTGAGCAAGTGATGTAATACTAAATTTCTCCTAATCTGTTCTGATAAAGAAACAAAGTCATCTGTGAGTAAATATTAAGTAAATTTTCATTTTTGGGCAAGCTATTCCTTAATTATCAATTCATCATGTTATACAGAGGGTTATTGAACTCATGCTTTTTGACTTAATTTTTGCATAAGGCCTAATTTAGTTTTTGAATCTACTCATTTTTTGTGTGTTGAAATCTATTAATTTATTCATGAAATAATTAGAATTTGCATGTTACTTTAAAACTAAATTGTTAAACACAAAGCGTTTCATTGTATTTTCCATTTTTATCATCTCGTATGTCCTATATGTTACTGACCCTTATACACGTATACATGAATTTTTGAAAATTCATGTATTTTTACACTGGTGCCCAACAGTAGCCTGCCTTCTTTTGCAAATATATTTACCAACTAATGATTAACAAAATTCCACAACAGAACAGCTTGAACCTAAATCTGTGCGTGTGACTACACACATACTTAGTTTCTTCTTTTATAAAAGCACAGCCTTTACGTTTTTGTGAGTATAAAACACCAAAAATGTGCTTGATATATGTTTTTGGAGCACTAGCCATAACAAGTGGAGTTTTTAGCCAAGACACCTCAAACTTACAGCCAGAGATTCGAGGTAAGCTTTATTTGTTCAGAAAACACACTCTTACTCTCTCATGCACAGACACCTCTACACACACATAAACTCCTACATACACACAGTGTGTTGGATCTGTCCAAGCCTGTCTCTTTTCCTCTTCACCTCCCTCAATAGACCTGTTTGTAGCTGTGGGTTCATCTGTGAAGATACCATGCACTGACGGAGAAGAAAAAGGGGTGGAGTGGAGATTCAACAGTTCAGTGCTTGTCTCAAGCCCTGTTCTCTCCATACAGAACACCAGTTTGAAGGACCAAGGCATCTACACCTGCCACCAACCGAATGGAGATCTGATACAGACAGTATCTCTACACCTGGGATGTAGGATTATGCATATTTTCCTTTAATGCTGTATATACTCAACATGTTAGTCTGGTAAAATGTTGCACTATTTTCTTATGACAAAGAGAGCTTAAACTGAAATTTCACCCTGTGTAATGCTTGCTCTATTCAGATCCCCCCTCTCCTCTGGATGTGCATTGTTGGTCTCCAAGTTACCCTAAAAGGGCAATATGCTCTTGGACACTGACCCCAGACCCAATACTTCCAACACATTATATTGCTACATACCCGTATCTTACACTCTTAAAAATATAGGTTCTTTAATGGCATTGATGGTTCCATGAAGACCTTGTAACATCCATGGCAAGTTTCCATTGCACAAAATGTTCTTTATAGTGGAAAAAAATGTACTTTAGATTATTAAAGGGGTGGTTGATTGCGATTTCACTTTTTTAACGTTAGTTAGTGTGTTGCTGTTTGAGCATAAACAATATCTGCAAAGTTACGAAGCTGAAAGTTCAATGCAAACGGAGATATCTCTTTTAAAATTCTGGCAGTTTAATGCCTACAAAAACGGCTGGTAGGGACTATAACAAGTTACTTCCCGGGTTCGTGACATCACAAACCCAGATAAACCCCGCACCCGGGAAAAGGCAGTAAAGGGGGCGATGCCATGCATCTCTCTCTACTTTAGAGAAGAGGAAGAGAAAACTAGAGGTGCACGTAAAAATCTGTTCATATATGAATCGCGATTCTGTCTTCTAACAATTCTAATTGATTCACAAGTTTAAAAACCAGTGTTCTAAAGCAGCAGTTCTTAATACTGTTCCTCGCGTCCCCCTGCTCTGCACACGCTCTACATCTCTCTCTCTCTCTCATTCAGCTCAGCTCCAACAACGAACTGTTCCAATTATACACTTATTTTCACATAGCTATGAGAAGCGTTAAACATGGACGCGCGTGCAGTTGC